TGACTGTCACCACCAGGACTCGAACCAGGGACCCTCGCTTGTAGCCAGCGATGCTCTAACCACTGAGCTATGGTGTAGTCGTCATCCAAGCAGAGACCGTTCAACGTTTTCTTCAGACTTCGTAACTCACACTTCCTGTGAATCCACACAGGCGGGTGGGACGCAGCCCTCACTGTACCCACACACTTCACGTACAAACTAGCACGCGGGGAGCCCCAAGTCATAAAATATTAACTGGTTTTGAGGGAAAGAGACAAACGGGAAAAGTCTGAAGAAAAAATTGACTGTCACCACCAGGACTCGAACCAGGGACCCTCGCTTGTAGCCAGCGATGCTCTAACCACTGAGCTATGGTGTAGTCGTCATCCAAGCAGAGACCGTTCAACGTTTTCTTCAGACTTCGTAACTCACACTTCCTGTGAATCCACACAGGCGGGTGGGACGCAGCCCTCACTGTACCCACACACTTCACGTACAAACTAGCACGCGGGGAGCCCCAAGTCATAAAATATTAACTGGTTTTGAGGGAAAGAGACAAACGGGAAAAGTCTGAAGAAAAAATTGACTGTCACCACCAGGACTCGAACCAGGGACCCTCGCTTGTAGCCAGCGATGCTCTAACCACTGAGCTATGGTGTAGTCGTCATCCAAGCAGAGACCGTTCAACGTTTTCTTCAGACTTCGTAACTCACACTTCCTGTGAATCCACACAGGCGGGTGGGACGCAGCCCTCACTGTACCCACACACTTCACGTACAAACTAGCACGCGGGGAGCCCCAAGTCATAAAATATTAACTGGTTTTGAGGGAAAGAGACAAACGGGAAAAGTCTGAAGAAAAAATTGACTGTCACCACCAGGACTCGAACCAGGGACCCTCGTTTGTAGCCAGCGATGCTCTAACCACTGAGCTATGGTGTAGTCGTCATCCAAGCAGAGACCGTTCAACGTTTTCTTCAGACTTCGTAACTCACACTTCCTGTGAATCCACACAGGCGGGTGGGACGCAGCCCTCACTGTACCCACACACTTCACGTACAAACTAGCACGCGGGGAGCCCCAAGTCATAAAATATTAACTGGTTTTGAGGGAAAGAGACAAACGGGAAAAGTCTGAAGAAAAAATTGACTGTCACCACCAGGACTCGAACCAGGGACCCTCGCTTGTAGCCAGCGATGCTCTAACCACTGAGCTATGGTGTAGTCGTCATCCAAGCAGAGACCGTTCAACGTTTTCTTCAGACTTCGTAACTCACACTTCCTGTGAATCCACACAGGCGGGTGGGACGCAGCCCTCACTGTACCCACACACTTCACGTACAAACTAGCACGCGGGGAGCCCCAAGTCATAAAATATTAACTGGTTTTGAGGGAAAGAGACAAACGGGAAAAGTCTGAAGAAAAAATTGACTGTCACCACCAGGACTCGAACCAGGGACCCTCGCTTGTAGCCAGCGATGCTCTAACCACTGAGCTATGGTGTAGTCGTCATCCAAGCAGAGACCGTTCAACGTTTTCTTCAGACTTCGTAACTCACACTTCCTGTGAATCCACACAGGCGGGTGGGACGCAGCCCTCACTGTACCCACACACTTCACGTACAAACTAGCACGCGGGGAGCCCCAAGTCATAAAATATTAACTGGTTTTGAGGGAAAGAGACAAACGGGAAAAGTCTGAAGAAAAAATTGACTGTCACCACCAGGACTCGAACCAGGGACCCTCGCTTGTAGCCAGCGATGCTCTAACCACTGAGCTATGGTGTAGTCGTCATCCAAGCAGAGACCGTTCAACGTTTTCTTCAGACTTCGTAACTCACACTTCCTGTGAATCCACACAGGCGGGTGGGACGCAGCCCTCACTGTACCCACACACTTCACGTACAAACTAGCACGCGGGGAGCCCCAAGTCATAAAATATTAACTGGTTTTGAGGGAAAGAGACAAACGGGAAAAGTCTGAAGAAAAAATTGACTGTCACCACCAGGACTCGAACCAGGGACCCTCGCTTGTAGCCAGCGATGCTCTAACCACTGAGCTATGGTGTAGTCGTCATCCAAGCAGAGACCGTTCAACGTTTTCTTCAGACTTCGTAACTCACACTTCCTGTGAATCCACACAGGCGGGTGGGACGCAGCCCTCACTGTACCCACACACTTCACGTACAAACTAGCACGCGGGGAGCCCCAAGTCATAAAATATTAACTGGTTTTGAGGGAAAGAGACAAACGGGAAAAGTCTGAAGAAAAAATTGACTGTCACCACCAGGACTCGAACCAGGGACCCTCGTTTGTAGCCAGCGATGCTCTAACCACTGAGCTATGGTGTAGTCGTCATCCAAGCAGAGACCGTTCAACGTTTTCTTCAGACTTCGTAACTCACACTTCCTGTGAATCCACACAGGCGGGTGGGACGCAGCCCTCACTGTACCCACACACTTCACGTACAAACTAGCACGCGGGGAGCCCCAAGTCATAAAATATTAACTGGTTTTGAGGGAAAGAGACAAACGGGAAAAGTCTGAAGAAAAAATTGACTGTCACCACCAGGACTCGAACCAGGGACCCTCGCTTGTAGCCAGCGATGCTCTAACCACTGAGCTATGGTGTAGTCGTCATCCAAGCAGAGACCGTTCAACGTTTTCTTCAGACTTCGTAACTCACACTTCCTGTGAATCCACACAGGCGGGTGGGACGCAGCCCTCACTGTACCCACACACTTCACGTACAAACTAGCACGCGGGGAGCCCCAAGTCATAAAATATTAACTGGTTTTGAGGGAAAGAGACAAACGGGAAAAGTCTGAAGAAAAAATTGACTGTCACCACCAGGACTCGAACCAGGGACCCTCGCTTGTAGCCAGCGATGCTCTAACCACTGAGCTATGGTGTAGTCGTCATCCAAGCAGAGACCGTTCAACGTTTTCTTCAGACTTCTTAACTCACACTTCCTGTGAATCCACACAGGCGGGTGGGACGCAGCCCTCACTGTACCCACACACTTCACGTACAAACTAGCACGCGGGGAGCCCCAAGTCATAAAATATTAACTGGTTTTGAGGGAAAGAGACAAACGGGAAAAGTCTGAAGAAAAAATTGACTGTCACCACCAGGACTCGAACCAGGGACCCTCGCTTGTAGCCAGCGATGCTCTAACCACTGAGCTATGGTGTAGTCGTCATCCAAGCAGAGACCGTTCAACGTTTTCTTCAGACTTCGTAACTCACACTTCCTGTGAATCCACACAGGCGGGTGGGACGCAGCCCTCACTGTACCCACACACTTCACGTACAAACTAGCACGCGGGGAGCCCCAAGTCATAAAATATTAACTGGTTTTGAGGGAAAGAGACAAACGGGAAAAGTCTGAAGAAAAAATTGACTGTCACCACCAGGACTCGAACCAGGGACCCTCGCTTGTAGCCAGCGATGCTCTAACCACTGAGCTATGGTGTAGTCGCCATCCAAGCAGAGACCGTTCAACGTTTTCTTCAGACTTCGTAACTCACACTTCCTGTGAATCCACACAGGCGGGTGGGACGCAGCCCTCACTGTACCCACACACTTCACGTACAAACTAGCACGCGGGGAGCCCCAAGTCATAAAATATTAACTGGTTTTGAGGGAAAGAGACAAACGGGAAAAGTCTGAAGAAAAAATTGACTGTCACCACCAGGACTCGAACCAGGGACCCTCGCTTGTAGCCAGCGATGCTCTAACCACTGAGCTATGGTGTAGTCGTCATCCAAGCAGAGACCGTTCAACGTTTTCTTCAGACTTCTTAACTCACACTTCCTGTGAATCCACACAGGCGGGTGGGACGCAGCCCTCACTGTACCCACACACTTCACGTACAAACTAGCACGCGGGGAGCCCCAAGTCATAAAATATTAACTGGTTTTGAGGGAAAGAGACAAACGGGAAAAGTCTGAAGAAAAAATTGACTGTCACCACCAGGACTCGAACCAGGGACCCTCGCTTGTAGCCAGCGATGCTCTAACCACTGAGCTATGGTGTAGTCGTCATCCAAGCAGAGACCGTTCAACGTTTTCTTCAGACTTCGTAACTCACACTTCCTGTGAATCCACACAGGCGGGTGGGACGCAGCCCTCACTGTACCCACACACTTCACGTACAAACTAGCACGCGGGGAGCCCCAAGTCATAAAATATTAACTGGTTTTGAGGGAAAGAGACAAACGGGAAAAGTCTGAAGAAAAAATTGACTGTCACCACCAGGACTCGAACCAGGGACCCTCGCTTGTAGCCAGCGATGCTCTAACCACTGAGCTATGGTGTAGTCGCCATCCAAGCAGAGACCGTTCAACGTTTTCTTCAGACTTCGTAACTCACACTTCCTGTGAATCCACACAGGCGGGTGGGACGCAGCCCTCACTGTACCCACACACTTCACGTACAAACTAGCACGCGGGGAGCCCCAAGTCATAAAATATTAACTGGTTTTGAGGGAAAGAGACAAACGGGAAAAGTCTGAAGAAAAAATTGACTGTCACCACCAGGACTCGAACCAGGGACCCTCGCTTGTAGCCAGCGATGCTCTAACCACTGAGCTATGGTGTAGTCGTCATCCAAGCAGAGACCGTTCAACGTTTTCTTCAGACTTCGTAACTCACACTTCCTGTGAATCCACACAGGCGGGTGGGACGCAGCCCTCACTGTACCCACACACTTCACGTACAAACTAGCACGCGGGGAGCCCCAAGTCATAAAATATTAACTGGTTTTGAGGGAAAGAGACAAACGGGAAAAGTCTGAAGAAAAAATTGACTGTCACCACCAGGACTCGAACCAGGGACCCTCGCTTGTAGCCAGCGATGCTCTAACCACTGAGCTATGGTGTAGTCGTCATCCAAGCAGAGACCGTTCAACGTTTTCTTCAGACTTCGTAACTCACACTTCCTGTGAATCCACACAGGCGGGTGGGACGCAGCCCTCACTGTACCCACACACTTCACGTACAAACTAGCACGCGGGGAGCCCCAAGTCATAAAATATTAACTGGTTTTGAGGGAAAGAGACAAACGGGAAAAGTCTGAAGAAAAAATTGACTGTCACCACCAGGACTCGAACCAGGGACCCTCGCTTGTAGCCAGCGATGCCCAATAATCATGAATAATAATAATGAGTACTTCGTATCTGCAAGTCGAAGTTCTGGACGCAGCAAATCAAGACGGTAGCAGCATTGTGCAGCATAAAGCAATGCTGATCCAATGCAACATGGCCCACAAATTCTGATTTACTTGCATTTATTTAAAAAATGTATACGAATCACAGTAATATCCAGATACAATTTTCAAAATTTGGACTTGACTGCGAAGCATTAGGACATTAGGCCACCTTCCTCGTACTGCTTTTTAACTCCGATACACTTGAAAATACCTACGGCCTAAGCACTCCAGCGCAGGCTCTTGGAAGCAGCGACTGAATTGACCGGCCAACAGTTCGCTCATTGTGCAGCACCAGGCCCGATGATCACGCTAGAACGGCGAGCAGGCTGGATAACCACAGGCGCATACAGGGATGTAGCTGCTAGGGGGGGGGGGGGGGTGCACGGCCGTAGTTCGCTAGCTAGCTGTAATATCATACGCGTAGGGATGGCTGGTTCAGGTCATCATGGTCATTATGTGCATGCTGAACCTACGTACGTGTAGGTCGACATGTGACCCTCGCGCCCCGTGCGGGCTACACGCCTGCGCGTATAGTCAGTGCGGTCCGGTAACCACGGCAGCAAACGGCCGTCATAGGTACATGTAGTACATGCATAGGCAAAATGGCGACTTTGAGGTTGCCGGTGGTACACGGTCACCACGCCACAGATGTGCCAGATGTTACCAGCTGCCCGGTCTGCCGTGTTCCGGCGACTCCCAGTGGGCACACACACACTGTGCACACACACGCACACACGCACACACACACACACACACACACACACACACACACACACACGCTGCAGCATGCCATGGCTAGCCGCCGCCACCGGGTAGATCAGGGAAGGACAGCACCTCGATGCGTTTGACAAACATTCCACGTGGCCTGTCAGCGGTCGGGTCATTGTATCCGCCAAGACTGACAAGTACGCCATCATCCGCGAGCAACGGAACTCCGGTCTTCTCTATCGCCATCGGGGTGAGAAGGAGCCACTTCTTCAGCTTCTCAGAATAGACTTGGACAAACGTGCTGCAAACAGCAAAGCGAGACCAGGTTACAAGCCTGTACTTAATGCCTCCAGCCGTCACAATGTAGCCGTTGCTAACTGTGACACCGCAGCCGGCCATGATGCCTTCCGACAGGCTGTCGTTCTTGCGCCATTCACGCCCGGCAATGGGCTGCTGGTAGTCAATGCTGAGCACAGTCGTCTGCAGTTTTACTCCGTCACGCTGGCCATTAAACAGACAGACGCGTTTGCCATCGAACACCACGTCGGGACAGATACAGCTCATGCCTAATTGTGGCCATTGCGATGTGTTGCCGCCTGGACCTGGATGTGCGAGGTTGAATGCCAAGATATCGAGCTTCGCCACCTGTACACCACTCCCGTTGTGTGCCGTGCCACCCACGATTATCAGCTCGTCGCCTACGACGCCGATGCCATAGTTCGCACGGAACTCATTCTTCCTATCCACCTCGATCCACTCGCCGCTATCTCTTGGATCCGCGGCCTCCTGCAGGCGCAATAGGCAGATGAGCTTCTGGATCTGTGACGAAGCCACGCAATACACCTGCTGAGCATGAGAAATGAAATCAAACTGATGGGTATCTTTGTTCGCTCCTTCCGGAAGAGTCTGATGCTTCGTCACACTGGTCCATGTGTGAAGATCGTTGAGCGGCGAGCTTCGGAAGCCCACTTTTATCAACTGGCCATCCTTCTTCCAGAGAGCGGTGAACACGCGCCCGTTGTGTACGCACGGTCTTCTGCTGGCATGGTAGAAGACCTCCCGGAACTGTGCGTCTCTGCCGCCGAGTTTGGATGACCACTGGCCAGGAAAAGTGAGAACATGCAAACACACATGAACACACACACACGCGCGCACATACACAAACACGCACACACACGCGCGCACACACGCAACCACACACGCAAACACACACACACACACACACCCACCCAAATACACACAAAATTTAATGTGTTTGCACACATAAAAAGGGTTAGGAAACCTGAATACATAAACTGTATTTCTAAACAAGGATTCCTCAGAGGCACTGCGCCTGTCAAGGGTGCCCAACAGTAGCATAACGGAAAAAATACGTACAACTATCACGATCATGCACACTACAAACAAAGAGAGCGACACTAATTAGACCAGGGATGGTTGAGGTACCGTAAAGTCTTGTATAAAAGCCGCGGCTTCTATGACTTTCTTGGTGAAATTTTGCAGGCTTCTATATGAGACAGGCTTCTCTACAAGACAGGTATTTACACGTATGTCAACACTAAAACCAGGCTCATGTGTGATTTGATGGGTCCAAAATTGCGGCTTCTATTCAAGTGCGGCTTTTATACAAGACTTAACGGTTTATGCCATGTTTTAGATAATGCCCCGCAATAATACTCAGAGCCAGCCGTGCCATCAGGCCCATGCCGCACGCATGTGTGGTTGTGTGCGTTCGTACTAAATTTCCAGCCATCTAGCGCCTGCCAATTGCAATCAGGCATGGCACACGTGCCGGCCAAGTCAAAATGTCAAAAATCCAGTTGAGGTCCAATAACATAAGAACACATACAAACCATCTACAGCCATCACCTAATTAAGTAAGAGACAACCGGCTCCAGTGGTTGTCACCTTTCACCACTGCTGTCATTCACACTTTTACTTTTGGATTTGCCTCATGATGCAGTCATTCACGCTTTGCACTGCTGCCATTCACAACTTTTAGATTTGCGCCATGCAGCTATTTACACTTTGCTTTGTGAGTATATAAACCAACACTGATCCAGGTTTCTCAATACTGTTTTCTGACGATCGCTTAGTGCGTGAAACTTGGGGTAAAAACACTTTCTCTGTCCTCCTATTGTTTGTTTGTAAGAACACATACAGTCAACTTCACTAACAACGACTGCGGATATAACAACAATTCGCGAATAACGACAGAATTTCATGCCCAGAGCAAAGTCCTATCTAACTGTAATACATATAATGAGACTTCGGGTAAAACGACACTTCGCGAGTAAGGACACTTATCTGATGCCCCGCCGAGTGTCGTTATACGCAAAGTTCACTGTACATGTACTGTTAAAGTCAAACAGGCGTTCCCACAGCGGGGGTTAATTTTCTCTAGGTAGGACCAAAGAGGGCGGGGTGGTGGTGGTGGGGGGGGGGGGGCAGGGGCGGATCCAGGGGGGTGCGAAGGGTGCAAATGAACCCGTCAGGATTTTTCCAAAAAAAAAAAAAAAAAAAAAAAAAAAGTTCAGGCCAGGCCAGGCCCAGGCTCGCTGATTGCTGCTCGCTTGTGGCAGTACAGTCCCAGCTGTCATGAAGAAGACTTCAGGTTTTTACAGTGCCGTTTCCATGGTTGTAGCCAATGAGCGACGTTCCCGCGGTGGCCTTGATGAGCCGATAAAGGCCCGCACGCTGTCCGCCTAGCTCTACAGTGCAGGGGTCTGCGTCAGTTTTCCGTTGCCATCTCAGTTCATCTCAGGACCTTGCCGTCCTTGTATTGGCTTTGGAGGAGAGTAGAGTAAGTACATGGTTGAAACCAGGTCTACAATCATGATGTAGATTGGGCATGCCTGTAGACATGACCTCATGCTCAGTTCTGTTCATTGATGTAATAAACATACAAGTACTATGATGTAAGGTAGCAAAGGTGGCTACATGTAGTAAGCAATCCAGTATTCTACAAGCTAATGGCGATGTTGACAACAGGTTTGTACGCGTGTCAGTAAAGGAGTGACAAAACTAAACAGCTACAACCTGAAAACAATTCAAAACATTCTTCTTCTTCTTCCTTCGTCGCGCTTATATACAGTTCGCAAGTGAAACCTGACCATGAATCAAGGCCAAGGGCGCAGGCCAAGGCGCGTAGCGCCGAGGCTTGCGCCCGCGGCCGTACGCATGAGCTTTGGCAATTCTGCAACTACTTCTTCTAAAAAAATGGCAAGAGATCGCGCTTATATACAGTCTACGAGTACGAGCATCAAAGGACGACTTAACCTGAGGAGTAAATTATTATTATTATTCACACATATCCGCCGGATGAGTACGCGTGGCCCATGCACCATGGGGACCCACGAATACAAACCAGCATATGTTCCCTCAGCAATACAAGCAAGCAAGCAAGCACGCAAAGATAAATGAGAGCCCAGGCAGCGAAAACAAAACGAAGAGAGATGAGGACATAGGCAACGAAAACAATTCCAAAGCATAGCCAGGGATTGAATGTGTGCATCTGGGTACGACAGTTAACACGGCTAGTGCAGCCGTACAGAGCGCAGCAGCATGTAAATACAAAAGCGCCAGAGCAGCAGCAGCCAAGAGTGTGCAAACACTAAAAAAGAAGATCAGTCCATGAAAAAATTATTGTCGCCACCGGTAGACATCTCCGGCAAGAATGCATGCGTGCGCACAAGTAGGCAGGCAAGCATGTCAGATGTAATCGTATTATTATGGCCAGGCTAATTAACAGTGCTGTTTCGTAGGAGTAAATAATTGGAAAAAATGGCAAGAGATCCAACAATTCAAAACATTCTTCTTCTTCTTCCTTCGTCGCGCTTATATACAGTTCGCAAGTGAAACCTGACCATGAATCAAGGCCAAGGGCGCAGGCCAAGGCGCGTAGCGCCGAGGCTTGCGCCCGCGGCCGTACGCATGAGCTTTGGCAATTCTGCAACTACTTCTTCTAAAAAAATGGCAAGAGATCGCGCTTATATACAGTCTACGAGTACGAGCATCAAAGGACGACTTAACCTGAGGAGTAAATAATTGGAAAAAATGGCAAGAGATCCAACAATTCAAAACATTCTTCTTCTTCTTGCTTCGTCGCGCTTATATACAGTTCGCAAGTGAAACCTGACCATGAATCAAGGCCAAGGGCGCAGGCCAAGGCGCGTAGCGCCGAGGCTTGCGCCCGCGGCCGTACGCATGAGCTTTGGCAATTCTGCAACTACTTCTTCTAAAAAAATGGCAAGAGATCGCGCTTATATACAGTCTACGAGTACGAGCATCAAAGGACGACTTAACCTGAGGAGTAAATAATTGGAAAAAATGGCAAGAGATCCGTCCACCACGTCCCCGACCTCCACCCCTAGGTGGTGTCGCGCTTATACAGTTCGCAAGTGAAACCTGACCATGAATCAAGCTTGCAAGGCCAAGGGCGCAGGCCAAGGCGCGTAGCGCTGAGGCCTGCGCCCGCGGCCGTACGCATGAGCTTTGGCAATTCTGCAACTACTTCTTCTAAAAAATGGCAAGAGATCCGTCCGCCGCGTCCCCGACCTCCACCCCTAGCATCTTGGTGCTATGTGTAATTATGATATTATACAGTAACATACTATGTCTTTGGTTTACTACTGCAAAAGAAAATTATGTAAGTTTCGTCCTCGCACCCCTCAGCTTTGGGGTCTGGATCCGCCCCTGGGGGGGATGAACGCAACGGCAAAGTGCACAGCCTATATGTAAGTCCCACGGCAACAAGGAATGTCGACTGTTACAGAACGATGACGAGACAAGTAAATAACATTATCCGAGTTCCACAACTTGGACTTGGACTGCCACGAGCCTCCTCTCGATTTGGTTATTCCTCTCTTTCTTATTTAGCCGCTGACCGCTGGAACTCAGTTCCGGCATCGGTCCGCCTTGCTGCTTCACCAAGTCAATTTCGTATCGCAATCCTAGATTGGCTAGGGTACCCCGTAAGGAGACCATAGGTCTGTGGGGACTGCTCTAGAGAAATACCGGTATGAATAAATACTTTACTATACTACTACTACTACTACTACTACAACTACCTTTGGCAGCAGTTCCTGTAGGCGCTATGCCAAAACCTACACATAATGCTAGTAGTTACGGTAACCGAAGCACATTTTAAAACAGAGATACATATGCATGTAAGCCATGGAATTATATCCCATTGATTCCATGGCGATTCCACTGAGAATGGCGGGGTTGAAAATGACCATTGAAAAAGACGTGTCCTATTGAAATAGGACACTACTGGTCAACTTTTTTGTTTTCCGACACAATTAAGGCACCGTATTTGAATGCCCTCTTGGTGTAAGACAGACAGGACTAACCACCATACAGCCTGTGCATCCCTGAACGTAGTTTTGTTCATACGGACGAAAGCTTAGATCACACACCAGCCCTGCCCATCAACGTGTGCTGCTTCTTGGACCAAAACATGCCTGGAAGCAAGTCAGATCATCAGCCATCAAGCAATTCAGAAGCAGCCTAGGATATACATGTACCGCAGTGCAGAGGAGGGGGGGGGGGGGCTGTACCAGGGGCGTCGGACACATTACACTCACTACGGTATTAACCGTACCACTATTTGCCCCCCCCCCCAGTACCCTGTGAATAATTATTAAAATGCACTGAATCGGGCTCTAATTTTCTAATTTTCAGCAGACACCCCCCCCCCCCCCCCCCCTGCGCAAGTACACTTTATAATGCTGATCGTGCCACCCTAAAATGCCTTCCATCGCCCCTGTGTCGTCTTGAAACTGCTGTGAACGAAACAGTCTACTCACTTGTGCACACTGCAGACCATTGCCGGTAGGTGGCACACCCAAGACCAGGCAGCAGGCAGACGATCGTCGTGCCGGATGGTCAAACTGCACGCCAGTGGGCCGCGACGCCCGCTCAAGTGTGTCGTACAGCAGCCGTCGCTCGCGCACTGACCTCGCGTTCGCCTCGCGGTATCGCAGGATTTCGTTGTCCCTGGCCTGCAGCTTCCCTTGTAGAGACTGGACGTGCTTGATTTCTGTGGAGTACTTCGCCATCAGATCGCTGCCTACGTCCTTGTGCGTCTGCTCGGCTTTGTCGGCCTGATCACGCTGTTTGCGGCAATGTTCCTCCAGCTCTTCCGTCCTGGATTTCAAAAGCTTAATTCGTTGGAACATGTCTTCTTTGACCTGGTTGATGCCCAGCAGTTCGGACTGATGCTCTCGCTGCAGACGCTGTTTTTCTTCCACTGCTGACTGATGTGCCCGTGCCAGTTGTTCGCGCAGTGCTCCAATCTCATCGGTCATTTGTCCAAGTGTGTCGCGGGCAGCCGTCTCTTTTCGACGGCTTGCGGCACGAGCACTGTCCAGTTCTGACATAGTCTCCTCATTTGATGTTTTCTGTTGCAGCTGCTTGCGGCGCACAAACTCCAGTTCCTCGTGGACCTGCTCAAGCTGTTGCTTGAGGCGATGGTTTTCCTCTTTCATCTCATCCTGCTGCCGTTGCTTGCGGCGTACAAACTCCAGCTCCTCACGGACCTTCTCAAGCTGTCGCTTGAGGCGATGGTTATCCCCTCTCATCTCATCCAGCGAGTCACCTGCCGCATCCTTGTCGCGGCAACTACTGCTCGGGCCCTGCTCCCATTTCGAGACATCTAAATCATGTGCCCTGTGTCGGTGTTGTTCTTGTTGTTGTTGTTGCTGTTGTGACTGCTTCTGCGTCCGCTTTGGAAAGTGCTGTGGCTCATCTCGTGAAAACTCCATTCGTCGATTCGGAACCACGTCCTTCTCAAACAATGGCATTGTGTGTGCGTGCACTGGCTGCTGCTGTCCAGTTTGCTTTTCCTGCTGCTTATGAGGCGGCCGGGACCCATATTTCTCCTTCTTGCTAGCATCAAGTACATTGCCAGCGGCGAAATGCTTCCCGTGGTTTGCAGCGATATCCTTCTCCAGTGATGCAAAAGCCGCTCCTCGTGCTTGAGGTTGCTCATGAGGACGCCGTGCTTTGTCTGCTTGCTGTGCGGCATTCGTTTCCGCTTCGGATAACATTGCAGACAGCCGTAGGCTTGCCGTCGCTGCCGTGGGTCGTTTAGAAGGTGTTCCCTCGGTGCATTCCCTGATTAACTTGATGAGCGGGTCGTTGGTTTCCGCCTCCATGGACTGCAATATTTCCAGCGGGCAGGCCATTCGGTCGTCAAGTGCCACGCTTGGCGCACACATCCTTAGCATGGTGACACCGTAGGAGAAGATGTCGTGGCTCGGTCGATCACAGCGCCGGTCATCGTCACTAAGTACTTTCGCTCTCAACTCCGGAGGGATGCATATGTCTTCTCGGAAGTCCAGCAACTTCATTGTAGTCTGGCTTGGGAGGCCGAACGTAAACAAGTAATCAGCTGCCTTGGACATTTGCTTGCCAACAGGTACATCTTCGTTGATATCCTCTGATGATTCCTTGACGACCAACATTAGATTGCTAAGCTTTGCTGTGCAGTCTGTCGGCGAAGCGGACTTCAGCATGATAGTTTTCGTCCAGACGTTGCGATGCACTAGCTTCTTCTTGTGCAAGTGCTCCAAGCCAGCCATGACGTCCTTGGCAATGCGCACCTCGCCGAGCCGCTCCAACGGTGTTGGCAGTGACAGGCGCTCCTCCAATGTGCAGAACATGTGCTCGAACACCAGGCCGGGACTCGTTGTTGTGGGTGGCTGCGGCTCACAAACACCTAACTGCCGGATGATGTTAGGGTGCTTAAACATGTCATGACCGAGTTTGATGCACTCGCCGTAGAACTTCTGCTTCGCCTCAACGCCATCCGGAACTACCGATAACGTCAAATGATCGTGCACGGATCTATGCAGGAACTTGATCAGAACATCCTTGTCATCGCGGTGCGAGCGGCCTGTGTACACGCTGAACATTCCATGCTCTCTCCGCTCGTCCCCGACGACGATACTGGCAACGATTTTCGGAAGACCAGACAACTCTGAGGGCATCCTCAGAGGCTCCATGACGATTCTCTACCGCGGCCGGGTACAAGTACAGAATGATGGCTCTTCAGGTTCTTCAGTTCTTGCAGCGGCAGTGGATTTCTTTTTCCTTGCCCTGGCCAGAACGAAGCTGAGCGACTTTTGAATCTGTGCCTGTACTGTGCTAGCGGTTAGGTATGGCCTTGCACTGATGGCTGGCCAACAAACAACTAGTCAAGGTATCTAGACTAAAAATACTAATACTAGTAATAGGCTTGGATGGAGGTCGTTTCGACTGCAAGCACCGCGATAGCATCCACCGCTGATTTCAGCCAGACCAAGTTCGTTCAGTCAAATGATTAGATGAATAACACGTAACGTTGGGACCACAACGGTCAGCGTTTCTACTAACTTTGTAGGTTGGATTGATCGGCGTAACGCGTAACGCGCCCTGTCGCTCGCACGAATTCAAAGGGGGAAATGGTCACAAACCATCACCACAAGCACAAAGCTCTCGTTCAAGACTGCCGGTTTAATATGCTCTTGTTGTGGTAAACTAGCGGTGATGGAGGGATCGGTTGTAAATTGGTTCAATCCGGACCTGGAAGGTAGAAGTTGGGCCCTACCAAGTAACTTAGTTATTCATTGCTGTTCATGCTACCACACACGCCACTTGGCGGCAAATAATTACCACTCCGGCAGGTGGAGCAACAAAAGTGAAGCAATCACTGCACCTACGACATGTATAATGTAATACACACAGTAGCTACAACTACTAATACAAGCAGCACAAACGTTTAGGGACCGGTATGGCGATCAAAAGAAGGCAGTTCACACTGCATGCACTGAGCCGGTACGGGCGCTGTACGTAATCAGCCTTCACTTCACTCTTCAGCACTCTGGGGAGCTTGTCTGGGTCGATCACGGTTCCCATCGTAACAGACATCTGGGGATGCTACCGAAATTCGTTCTGAGAACCACAGTCGAGTACCTGTGAACCCTTTGGCTTTGCATTTGACAACCTACTTCTACTGAGTAGCTGTTATATTTTTAGAGGAACGGAAACGGTTGTGGGACCATCCAGCTCCAACCCTGCGTTCATTCACCATACCAAACCCAAAACGTGTAGTCTGTAGAAACAAGTCGGAGGGACGCAGTAGAATACGCGGCGCATGCATATGTGGCAGAGCCAGCCCTTTTTCCGTAACCTGTTACTGTGTTAGGCGTAGGGGTTATCCCCACGAATGGCCCAACTGACTACGACACTGATCTGAGCTGAGTCTAGTGCCAGTAGTGGTATGGTGGCTGCTGACATGCATAGACATGATGGGCTCGAGTTTATTATTTTTTTACGTAGGCATTCGTGCGTAGATCTACCCAGACCTGATCACTGCATGCTGAGCCGACCAGATAGCAGAGAGATCAAGCACAAGGTTGACGTTTACGTTCGCGGATCATATCCAGCACTCGAGTACTCTGGCCTTTCGAAGTCAGCTTTCCTGGCACAGGATAGATGTCAGTAGTGTCAGCTGCTTCGTCGTGGTTTGGAGTCATGTTCTATTTATTATTATTTTATTACTTGCATGTACGCGTTGAAGTCAATCATGCAAGCATGATTCATATCACAACTTCTATTCGCTTATGCTGAACATGATAAACAGGACTATGGCAGGGGAAAAAACTGGGCTAGAACGATGATACATGTATAATGATATAATTATCATATTATGCAACGTAGCTCATGGGTATTGAATATATGTCATTTATGGATATGTCTATATGTCATTGAATATTGCAGCCTGAGTGATAATAATAGTGCTATTTCCTGAGTTTGACTGTTTCAGGATCTGTCGGAATGTCACGATGCACAGATCTTCATGCATAGATCTCGCCATGCGGCCCTGATGCGGGTCGGTTATGGGCAATGGCTCGCAGGCTCTGCAGAGCGTCTAGGTTCCCCAGCAATCCAGCATTGGCTTGGCGCAGATCTCCCACCAATGCCTGCGGCAGGGTCGTCGCGGTCTACCCCTCCAGCATTGCTGTCGCTGATTGGCGAAGTACGCGAACATAGCCATAACAGCTGGGGCGAAACATCAACAGACCATCGCCTGGTGGTGGCGAGGTTCCTCCTCAATCGGATGTATGGAATATTCGTGCATCATAGGTCAGACGAGCAAACCTCCCTGAAGCCACTTCGATACAACACAAGTGATCTGCCGACAAGCCCACGGATCCGGGAGAAATACGTTGATACAATCGTCGCAGAGTTGGCAGATGGTGGTTCTGCTGTGGATACGGAGTAGGCCTTGACAGATTATGCTAATATTTTCGTGAAATTATGCTTTTCGCATTGCTGAAAAAATTGCAGAATTATGCTATTTTTATGCTAAAATTTATCATAATTATGCCGCATTATGCTCACATATGCTGCCAATGTACATATATGTATAATGGTTCTGTGCAAAATAACACTAACAGGGGAATTTTTTTGTAGAGGGCGTTGTACTGTAGTAGCAAAAGTTCAATAGGGTCAACGTACCGTCCGACCTAGCTACCGTCACTGATTGTAGTGAACTGGACATATTCTCAAGGGAGTCGTAAACCTACGACTTCCTAGTGCATCTACATGTACTTGTACTTGTAGAACATGTACAACTGTATGGAATTTGATGCGAACAGGCGGATTATTCCAATTTTATGCGATTCTTATGCAATTTGCCTCGAATTATGCGATTATTCGATTTTGGTTGGAATTATGCGAAAAATTATGCTAGCATAATCTGTCAAGGCCTAATACGGAGGACGGGGACCGGCATTGCTGTGGCAGCAAACAGCATCGGCGATAAAGAATGCTGCAGAGAAATCACTAGGTCTAGAGGCCCGGACAAAGCGTAGTGTGAAGGACAGCCCTGAACTGCGCCGACTGTCTCAGGCTCAAAAAGAACTAAAAAAAGAACTAAAAAACTAAAAATATCATGTTCTATGTAGAAGAGAAAAGGACATATGGATACGAGTTAAGAGTAACTCTCCATCACTGTAACATGATACTATATACAGTCGGAAAGTGCAATAACTAGGCACAAAACTGACAGAGTACTGAGACATTCGACGTCCTTACACCTAGCTTCAACACATCTCCGTAGCGCTAACCGACAGCCTTCCAACTTGGAAGGTTCAAGGTTATGGAAAGACCAAAGAGGGGAAGGCAAGCGCAACGAAAACGAGCAAAAGCTACAACGGAACAAAGAATGTCGATTGTTACTGGACGATGACGAGACCAGTACGATATTTGACAAAGCGGTCTAACTACAATTCGAAGCAGCAAAGCAGCACACCACCCAACTTGGGTGGGTCATAAATATCAAAGATAAGTAAAGAAAGGGAAGCTTTGCGAAAACATTCGTCACGAACCATACGGCGAAACGTACGTCGTGTGAAACAACTTAATTGTTTTGTAGTCAACTAGTCCATCACAATGTCATGCATGAGGAGTACTGTAGGAGTTTGGCTTTCGGCTGGCTTGTACAATTCGTTTTCGCAAAGCTTCCCTTTCTTTACTTATCTTTGATATTTATGACCCACCCAAGTTGGGTGGTGTGCTGCTTTGCTGCTTCGAATTGTAGTTAGACCTAGGTGTTGGCGGATAATGCTCGGTAATATGGGATTTAATACTCTCAGTAATGCTCCACAAAAGGCCATATAATGCTCCAAATAATGCTGATAATGCTCCGCCGGATGGAATATAAACTCCTGAACCTTGCGGTATCGGGCTAAGAAAAACGCTTTAATATTGCAACCATGCTATGCAACATAGAACGCACAATCTGGATCCGCCGCAGAGACTCGACTGAACTAACGGCCTCAGTAAAACCGGTGCCGGCTAGAGTCTTCCCAAGTCATTTCTGATACGCCAAGAAGGACTCCTTGACCAGCTTCTGCCTCTGAGTTTCCCTCTCCAAACGGGACTTTCCTTGTTTGTGTCTCGCGGTAGCAATATGGGACATGATTATACTCTTCTTCCCTGATAATGTTGTATGGCATGTCAGGCACACTAACTTGCCACAGTCGCTTTTGAGCGGCTCCGCACCCGTGTTTCGGCACTGATGGCCACTTCAGTGCTCTGTCCATGAGCTACTCGCGTCCTTTTGGAAACATTTTCAGACTTGGTAATAGCTGTTTTCTGAAAAGACCGCTTCCTCGCTATCGCGGCAGGATCTGCAGTTTCCAACTCGACGACGTCACCATCATCAGAGGACTCCGCCAAAAGCTCATCTGGAGAAAGCCCAGCTTCCTCCCAATCCCAAGAACGGCATCGCGACGAGTCAGCCATCAGCGTTGGCTGCTAGTTAGCTGGTCTTACACAATGGTCAATGTCCGGTGAAAGTCCAGCGTTACTCTTCGACAAAGACATGGACTGCATGTCTCTTGCTTCGATGAAAAATGTTTTTTGTAACATTGTGGACGGTAACCGAGTAAGGTCTGGAATGTGTGCGTGTGCGCACCTCCACCGTACTGTTCCATGCTGGCTTACATTTTGTTTCGTTGGTTCAGCGTTGTTACCATGGTTACCTGGATCTTCAAAACGTAGTTGCTGGCCGAAGATAGACTTCCGGGACCGGAAGTTTCTGCGAGAGTTTCCACACTGTGCTGGACCACAGCTAGCTGGCAATACTGCATGCAGTATAGGGCTTGAAAGTGATGACGTCAAAAACGGCCAGGGAGTACTAAGTTGACATCAGATTTCTATTTTGGATCCACTAAGGTGTGACTTTGCTATTGCCTCAGTATGTGGGTGCATAGCAACCCACTCATGTCGTATGCAGGGGTGACTTTTACTTCGCCACCAGTTGTAACCCCGCCCCCAGTAGCCAAATTAGTCAGTTTCACTGGTTACATCACCTTGCTGTGAGTAAGACGGCTTGAAATGTGCTTGGATCCATACAAAAACTGGATCCAAGTGGATCCAATTTTTGAATTTTTGAAATTGTTGCTATGCTGTGACGTAGCACTTTCAAGCCCTATTGCCTGGGCCTGGCACTGCGTACCACGATCTGTTTGGTACCATGCATGATGTGTGCGGTGGTCTATCGCTTGTAGTAATACATCGCGTATAGTAATAAATGTCGCCAATCAAAGACCAACGCTATAGCCGATGGGAATCTGTACATGAGGATGTGTGTAGATCTACTATGCAGTCATGTAGAACGTCGTATAATGCCATTTTTGGCCTCGTTATGCTTTATAATGCTCGTAATGCTCCAGGTGGTGTATAATGCTCGATATAATGCAGGCGTTATCCGCCAACACCTAGTTAGACCGCTTTGTCAAATATCGTACTGGTCTCGTCATCGTCCTGTAACAATCGACATTCTTTGTTCCGTTGGGACTGTAGCTTTTGCTCGTTTTCGTTGCGCTTGCCTTCCCCTCTTTGGTCTTTCCATAACCTTGACTGTGACCTTCCAAGTTGGAAGGCTGTCGGTTAGCGCTACGGAGATGTGTTGAAGCTAGGTGTAAGGACGTCGAATGTCTCAGTACTCTGTCAGTTTTGTGCCTAGTTATTGCACTTTCTGACTGTATATAGTACATCATGTTACAGTTAACTCGTATCCATATGTCCTTTTCTCTTCTACATTTATTTATGGCTCAACATCCGAGTATCATATTCTATAGTATTATTATAATGATACTTGATAGTCCAGCCCTAATAACAATATATTCTAATATTCGCGGGATCCGCGTCGGCATCGCTTGAATGTTCAAAAACACACAAACTAGCCTTCGCATCCGCAGGCCACCACTAGGGTCCAGCGGATAATGCCGGCATTATATTCGGCATTATACTGTCTACCTCGAGGCTGCATTGAGGTTGATTCGAGAGCGACTCTCACCGCGACCAGCATTGGATACTCAGCTTCAATTGCCCAATGAAACAG